CAGTTCTTAAAAAGAATAATTTAAGCCTACAGATCTATGATAATAATTAAGGACCAAGGAATCGATTAATATACATTATGTACATAAAAGAGATAAAAAAACACATAAAAACATGGCAAAAAAATATTGGCAGTCACATAGAGAAATATGATATAATTAATTACATTAAGTTTCTTTAAATGTCAAAAATGCACTTTACAACAGCTTGAGTATAAAAAAAATATGAAAATAAAAAATTCCGCCACTTTTTGCAACATATGAGTGAATATTTTACTTTAATAATCAGGGATCGGCAAAAGGTTTCCTTGCAGCAGTCCAAAATCTTTTTTTTTACAAGAGAATGTTAGTCATCTCTATTTTTTAATATTAATTTTTTCCTTGCCGAAATTTTATATATAATCCACTTCCCCGTTAAAATATTACACTTTCAGCATTAAAAGCTTCAAACTGCCCACTCCTGCTGCTAGGTAATTATGCTGATGATTTAAAATAGTGTACATAATAAAAATGTATTGCATAGATGATAAATGGACATTTCAATGCATCTTAATATAATTTTTATTATTCTGTATTTACCATACGAAACAAGCAGTAAATATGCAAATTTTAATTCTTTACGTTACGTTACTGTGTTGTTTTCATAAACTTTGTGGGTGGATAATGAGAGCTTCGATACTCATTAATAACCAAAGAGGCAACACCTTAAGCTGAGCAACCGCATGCATTAAGAAAAAAATTCACTACCAATATCGATATTTCTTTATGCAATTATTGCCTAGGTCCACTACGATGACATGGTGATCGTTTGTGGTGGCCAGCCCGCTTGGCCGCTTCAGTTTAGCGTCGTGCGAGTCGATGCACTGATTTAGAGAACTGTCGGTGAGCGAGAGGAGCTGGACGTAGGTCCTACCCTTCTGCTCAGTCCGGCTGACGAGTATTTTGCTGTCGGGGTCTATGGTTATGCCGCCATAGCGCCCCTTACCTGAAAGACGTAATTTTATTTTTTAGTTAAGTGATTTGCAATCGTTAACTATTAAAAGGCAAAATCAATAAAGGCAAAATCAATCAAGATAAACTAGTGCAAAGACCAAGTGATTTTGTCGAACTGACACCACAGATAGTGCCAAAATGTTTAAGAAAGAAGTGTAAAAAGTCATTCCTTATTGCATAAGCATAAATGTGTCGTAAAAACATTTTATCTTCGATCGTGTATGGAATATTTGTATAGAACTATACTGATTTTTTGTAAGTGCCACTTTGATGACTAGTATTATTTGAGTGTCATGACTGTACCACGTATTATTATAGATTTTAAGAAATTGTTCCTAAGCTACAGATAGAACCACTCAGATATTAATGGTAGTCCTCTGAGATGTTCTTGATCTGAAAAAGCTTTGCCGCGACTGAGGAGATGTCAAACTGAGATGTCTGTTGTGGTGAACTTTTGCAGAGTCACCACTTAAGATGATGACGGTACATAATGGCAAAACACTTGGAAGCATTGGATGCGAGCAGTTACACGGACCACTATAGGTCTCAGAAGACTGCCATTATTTGAGGAGCAGCTCCATCTATAACAAGCTTAGAACTGAAATCAACATCAGGGCAGACCTAGGGGTTGCAGTAGCGGGTCTGCCCCCACAGAACCTAGGCCTAGCACAACAGGGACAGGTCAAAGATGCCTAGCTAAGGCTAAGGAAATGCAATGTCCGTCTGTAATTGACGGCAGCATAGTACATAGATCAGAGCATAATAACATGAAAAACCATACTTTGAAAATAGCACTTAATATAATATAGTTGTTTATAGTTGACAACGTTCCTCGAAAACAGGACATAACAAATTGCAGTATAAAAAAAGTTGCAAAAGTTCTCATAAACATGAATCTGCAAATGCTTAGATTCTGAGAATGGAAATCAAGTTGAAATACTTGAAAATGGTTTTTTAAATATTCGTGAATGCAGCTAAGAGCTTGCCCTCTGGCGGTGACAAGTGATACTAGCGAAACAAGGTAAACATTTCTTCTGTGTGTGATATTTTGTTTTGTATTTTATTTAAAACTGTGTGTAGTGTAAGTTTTTTGAACACTGTTATTTTAAAAAAATAGTGTGAGGAAAACTTCAGCAATTATGGATACAAAGAAGAAACTGTCAAAGTATTATTGTTCAGTTCAAGGTTACTCTTCATGGTCCAAGAAAAATTTAGAATTAAGTTTTCATAAAACCATTGAAGAAATTTTCAAAATATTATTGCCGATAGATAATACTCCCTGAATTTCATGAGGGTTGTTAGTAAGTAAAGGCACTAGTTTGCAGACGCAATATAAATTTCTAAATTTAAATTAACTTTGCCCAATTTTCCCATATACTACCACATGATCAGCATTAAAAATTGCCTCTCCTTCTGATATGCAATGGGAGTTTTCGTTGGCATATATTAAATAGGAAATGTATTCCACAACCGATAAGTTCATAGTTATAACCTAATAAAATGTACATTAAATTGTAATGCTAGAGACAAATAAAGTAGACATAAATACTTGCCTTAAAATTTATTTATGAAATATTTGAAACCTATAAAATAACACAAAAGTCAAATAACCGC